TTTTGTGCATCCTAGTGCTGTAAATTAGAGAATTCCATAACAAATAATAAAATACACGTAGTGGAGATGTTATGGTTGATGTTAAACATCATCTGATGGATTTGACCTATCGAACACTCCCCCTCAAGTTGGACAATATATATCCATTATGTTCAGCTTGTACACTAAAAAGTAAAATATCTTGTCTGTAAGGCCTTGGTTATAATATAAGCAATTTGCTCTCAAGAGGGCATAAAAGGGTACTGATTTGTCGTTTCATTTTAGCTTCACGAATAAGTAACAACCGCTTCAATATCTCATGAGAACTTTCTATCTAACAAGCCCAAAAAGTAATAAACATGTGTTTATTTGTTTTGGAGGTATGCTGCAATGCTTGTAAGAAGCCAATCAAGGCCAGTCAATACGCTGCACATGCAGGTATCATTTAGTCTTGAATTTCCATCGATATTCAGCATTGTTGAATTCTTCAATTTCGCTTTTTGTTGCACGACGCCTTATTTAGAATATATTTTTATTTCTGTATTATTATATCAGAAAATAAAGAGCAAAGAATATTAAGGAACATAATGTTAGAGCATTTTTTTTCTTTGTTAAGAAATTACGCAGCTTATTGGTTTTTCATCTTTGCAGAGCTTTGTAAGTCTTTTAGTTCTAGCGTGGAGCTGGAACAGGAACTTGATGCGCCTGCAGTGAATAAAAAACCTCCACGGAAGGAGAGGAAGAAGTTACCGATGACTAAAACTAGTATCCTTTTCCAACTGTGGAAAAGAAATATTAATTTCTGTACTCGGCAAAATTTTATTTTCTTAACCTCTAGCAGAAAAATCCACTACACTGGGAGAGCCCAAAAAGATAGAATATGTCGATTCCAAGGATATAGCTGTATCAGAATCTTGTGTAGAAGAAAAGATTCAAATGAGGCCCTTTGCTGAAGCTAAACGTATTGTTCTCTTTTGCTGTTTACTCTTTATTTCCTTACTGTCATCTCAAGAATCATACTCGAAACAAGTACAGGCGCCATGCACAAAAAAAAAGGGAAAATCTGGATTCCGATTTTCAAATATATATATTTTTAAATGAGTCTACAAAGCCATGTCAATGCGACTGTCTTGAAACACTAACTTCTTCCAAATGCAAATCAACGTGAATGGATGGACAATATATTGAACCATGGTCATCTTAGTCGTAAATTTTTATGGATTCCTTACTTCGTCTTTCCGTGGTTACATTGGTAGGTTTCGCAGGGAAACATGCATCTGAGTTCCACTTAT